AATTCGCACTTCGAGAACTTAACATACAACTTCTCATGGCGAAGAGTCTCCAGCGCAATCCTCAGATGCTCCTTGTGCTGATCGATATCCCAGGAATAGACCAGAATGTCATCGATAAATACAATGACGAACTGGTCCAGGAAAGGATGAAAGACCCTATTCATAAGGTCCATGAAAACGACCGAGGCATTGCTTAGTCCGAACGGCATGACTACGAACTCATAGTGGCCATTGCGGGTACGGAAAGCAGCCTTAGAAATATCCGACTCCCGGATCTTCAGTTGATGATAACCAGAACACAAGTCAATCTTTGAGAAGACGCTGGCTCCTCTCAACTGGTCGAAAAGGTCCTCAATACGGGGAAGGGAGTACTTGTTCTTGACTGTAAGGGCATTCAACTCCCGGTAGTCAATGCACATGCGAATAGATCCGTCTTTCTTCTTCACGAATAGGACGGGCGCACCCCACGGCGAGACACTCGGACAAATAAAACCGAGCTTGAGCAACTCCTGGATCTGGGCCTTGAGCTCTTGAAGCTCCTTCGGCGCCATACGGTAAGGGGCCTTAGAAACGGGGCCGGCTCTGGGAATTAGGTCAATGGTGAACTCCACCTGGCGGTCGGGCGGTCCTCCGGGCAAATCATCAGGAAAGACGTCGAGGTACTCGCAAACAATAGATACTCTCTCGGGCACCCGCTCATCAACATCGTCGGATATCATAGAAACAAGATAGCCTTGACAGCTACCCTTGGAAAGTCTCTTCCTAGCTTGCATAGAAGAGATGACCCGAGGCACAGTCCTCGAACTCACCCCAAAGAACACAACAGGCTGATCGGAAACGGGATAGATGGTGACTTCGCGCTCCTGGCACCAGATATCGGCTCGGTAACGGGTGAGCCAGTCCATGGTCAAGATCACGTCAAAGTCTCACATATCAATTACATATACATCGGCCTCCAGAACTCGACCACCAACGCAAATAGGAAGGTTGCGAATCACTGAATCAGAGATAATAATTTTTCCTGAGGCTAAACTAACCTATAGAGGATCACAAGCATGCACGGTGCCAATAGATAAAGCTTCCAAGCAACGAGAAGAAATAAAAGAATGGGTAGCACCGGTATCACATAAAGCAAAGACAGGTACATGGGATATCGAAAGCATTCCAGACATGGTACCTGCATTGCGGGCGGCCGCATCATGGGTGATGGTATAGACTCGGGCCTGACCCACAGCCCTCTGCTGGAACGGTGGGGGCTGCTGATGCTGCTGATGAGGTGGCGGTGGGAGAAGCTGCTGCTGACGCTGCTGGGCAAAGGGCTGCTGATGTTGCTGTCTCTTCGGATCGGTGCAGACACTGGCATAGTGACCCGGACGGTTGCAGTTGTAACAAGCTCGCTGGTCTGCTAAGAACTCTCCGGTGTGGAACCTGCCGCATTTAGGGCACCTCGGCTGTTGACCCTGAGTGGGTCGGTCGTCACGTCTGCCGAAGTTTCCTTTCTTTCCCTTCTTTTTGTTCTGATAATTGGATTTCCTCTTGCCCGAGCTAGAGTCGGGCTGCACAGATGAGATGGGCTGAGCGTACTGAGCAACAGTCTGAGAAGGCTGGGAAGCATGATAATAAGAAGGAACTGGAGCCAATGGAATGAGACAGCTCTCGACCTCCTGAGCCCGACTCACGGTATCTGCATACGACATATGTCCGTGACTCCCCACCAGTTCACGGATCCTCTGATTGAGCCCCTTAAGAAACTTGCGGGCCTTCTTGGCATCTGTGTTCACTGCGTCGCCCGCAAAAAGGCACATGCGGGTGAAGGTGCGTATATACTCATCCACTTTGGAGCTGCCCTGCTGCAAGTGGTAGAACTCATGCTCCATTCTGTCCCAAAAGCTCTGGGGAAGGAACTTGCTGCGCACCATCACTTTCATCTACTCCCAAGTGAGAGCACGAAGCTCCGCCTCTGGCCTCCGGTCCCAGTGGTCAATCCACCAGTCAGAGGCGTCCTCCTTCATCTAATAAGCTGCGAGGGATACCCGCTGACGGTCCGGGAGGAGGAGTACCGCAAAAATCTTATCCAGCTCTTTCATCCATTCCAGCACTGCTGTGGGGCTCTCAGTCCCCGCAAAAGTTGGTGCATTCATCCTCTGAAACTGGACGATAAGCTGAGTGAAGTCCATGGCCAGAGGGGCCTGGTGATGACGACGAGGCGAGGAAGGAGTCGGGGATGCCTGACGGTTACAGTTGTTGTTGCTACTATTCATACTTCTACATTGAATAAGCCGAACAAGGTTAGCACAAAACAAACAAGATAATCTTAACTACAAAGGTCTAGAGTTCTCCAACAATCACTAGAGTTTGATTAAATCAAGGTGGATAGATCCTAAGCCCCAAAATAACAATTACACCACAAGTAGTCTCATTACCACATGTGTACCATTTACATATCCAGTATTTTCATTAATACTTAAACAAAACATACCTTAAGCAGCGCGGAGTGACGGAGACGAGTGGTCATAACACAAGGTCTAAACACATAATCACATATGAGCCAGTCTACAGAAACGCAGACTAGCTCTGTTACCAAACTGTAACACCCCACTTTGATTTTAAAGAAATTCCGGACTTTCTAAAAATCATAACAAATTTTTCGAATTCATTTTCGAAATCAAGGGCATTAACCAACACAATTTACTTAGTCCAAGTCTTATCTGGACTCACGGGGATTCATAAACCCGATTTTTCACAAGGTTTTCATTAACCTGATTCACACTTCAACATAATATCCCATATGAACAATTAAAACTTCCTAAATCAAACACCATGATTATTCATGGTTTCAAAAGGGTTTTCCAAAATATTTTCAAACATCAAAACATAGTTCGAAAACAGTTTTCACATGTCCAAAACATAGAAAAGTTCATAACGACTATATTATTAAAGCAGAAGCAAAATAAAACAAATAATAGACCACCACTCGTCCTTCGTCCCGTCACCCGGCCACTGCTTAATCTGCATCTGTGAAGAGAAGGTGGGAATGAGCACAAATGATAAAGTAGTGCTCATTACTATGCACATAATAACATGTAAAGATGGTATGGTCGCAGCATGAATATAAATCAATCATCATCATGTCTTATCTCCTAACAATCATAACAATAACTCACTCATGTGCACATCTATCATTAGCCGCGGAAAGGGGATGCATAAACCCTAAACAGGAGGGCGTGCCACTGTAACGGACACGGCCTTTCATTAGGTCTTAAGGAAACTTGTCTCGCAAGGGCAACCGTACCGTAACTCGACGGGGACAACCGTATCGACGGCCGTAACAACTCACATCGGTAGGCCACATGGTTCACATTCATACATTGGTCATACCAACTAAACATTAAACAACACGTATGGCATAGACAATTTTATAAGTAAACCCACCAGGAAGTTTCGGTAGAAAATGGCACACAAAAACAAGTACGTAGGATGAGGCTCGACTCCTCAAACACCTACATTAAGACTTAAGGGTTTTAACATAAAACCCATACTTCATCAAAATTAAGACTTAAGGGTTTTAATCGGATTTTTCGTGGACTTGGAACTCTCTCATTTTTTAAAAATGGGACTCGGAGAATTAAAATTGGAGTCTCGGTATAAAATTTTCTCATTTGAAAATAATTTTTAAAATTGAAATCGGTACGAAAAACGGCTTCTAGAAATCAAAATTGGGGTAAAAAAAATTGAATTGGGAAGCTGAAATTTCAGTCCCTCAATTGGGCCTGAACATGCGAAATGGGCCGCAGCTAAGGAGGGTTAATGCCCAAGACTTGGCTTGCTAAGGGGTGCGGGCCTTTGAGCTGTTCGCGGGCTGCTGCTGGGGAGAGATCACGGGCTGCGCAGGCTAGAGTCGGGCCGAACACAGCCCGCGCGCTGCTGCTACTAACAGGGTAGAAAAATAGAAAAAGGAGTTGCGGGCGGCAAGGATCGAACCCACGACCTCCCTCAACCAACTGTGCGCAGACACCACTAGACTACAGGCGCTGCTTGTTTATTAATTTGAAAAGTTTTGTAAATGAATTTTTAAAAACAAACTGTGACAACCTGCAGAAACAGAGTTTTGCTGGACAGTGAAATTCGACCAAAATTCGACAACATCAATTCCAACAGCAACCGGGTTTTGAC